TATGTCGAAATCTTCTTTGGAGGGGATGGTTTTATAGATGTGGACTAAAAGGTTTAGTGGGGTTTATAGACTCGGCTTTCCTCATTATCTGCTTCTCATTCTGACATTTAAATTTCTCGGTTCTCAATTTTATGAATCTTGGATCATGCGAGTGATTTTTATTTCTTTCATATTTCATTACGGGTTCTTCGGTTAGTAGGAGCATAACATGTCTTTCACTACTCATATCTTAGGTTGCAGAGAAGACTAACATGAGGTCTTCTAAGAGCAGGAGCAAATTTCCTTTTCTAGTGAATTTTTCTTTCAATAATTTTTGCATTCTGAAAAAATTAGAGAGACTTCCTAATAGTCATCTTCGTTCCTTCTCACTCATGTGCCTGAGGCTTCAACTCTTGTGCACTCCGAAGTGTAATTATCTTTCAAATTAAATGGGGAGATGCAAGATGTCTTGTCCTTTCCTTCTTCAACAATCTAGTTAACTCGCCCCAAAATGACTGTGAAACTCTAGATTCTTTATCACAAAATATACATAAATATTAATATTCTGATTGGAAGCTATGTTGTCAGATTGTGCCAATAAGATTTTACGATTATATGTAAGTGGCTCTTGATATGGATCAACTTAGGAATATCCTAGACAGTTATCTATGTGACTCTTCATGAGAACTAACCTTTCCAACGCTAGTATAACAATAGTATTCTCAGGAGGCACGACTTCTCTAAGGAGCCATGAGATCATTCTCGCATAGAGCATCATATATCAAATCGTTCTATATAGGCTCTTGAAGCCTTCTCTCCCAGTCCTTATAGTAACCACTGAACGCCCATTCACCCCCAGCCTTTATCCGAAGTAAATCCAACGGTTCCTTCGGCACACCCAACTCGATCAAACGTCGGGCTAAATCCGCAGAGCCGCAGATACAAATATATTGTAATGGAGTCCACGACGTAGTGCTTTTCAGGTCCGTGTTGGCGCCAGATTCGATCAGCAACTTGATAATCTTGTTATAAGCTGTTATTTGACTCTCCCGAAGCATGTGAAAAATTGGCAAGCTGTGTATTCCATTGAAATCGGTAGCCTCCGCATCAACATCCGCACCAGCCTCAATCAACATCTTGACGACTTTAAAGTTTCCCGAAGCAACAGCAAAATGCAAAGCTGTGAGACCGGTTGAGTTTGCCGCGTTAGGATCAGCGCCCGCAGCTAGCAGAATTTCCACAATATCTTCGTTTCCCAGCCATGTCACCGCCTGCGATAACGGTCTTGTGCCTCCCGGTGCCGAAGTGGCATTCACGTCCGCTCCTTCGTGTATGAATATTGCGACTAGCTCTGTTTTTCCAAGCGAACAGAATGGCTTGAGGGGACTCCACGATTGAGTGCCCGGGGGGAATAGGACGCCATTTGTTACGGTAAAATTTTCTTTGAAGTTTGCTCTAACCGAGGAAACGTCGAGGTTCCATTGGGTATCGTAAGCCTCGATGTAGGATTCCATGTATTCCATGCCTATCAGCGACATTTGGGCTTTCGAGCGGGCGGCTTTCATTTTTGCGATTGTCGTTTTCAGGCGTTCAGCTTCGATGGAGCCGGAGTCCATTACACAGATTGAAGTTTGGCATATTTTGCACTTTTCGCGGTTTCTCGTTGTAGTTTCTTGATATGCCTTACTTGCGGTTTCTTGAGATGCTCTGCTTGCGGTTTCTTGTTTAAAGGCGAATCTGTAGTAGTCGGAGGCGTCAAGGTGTTCTTGGCCCACATTGCTTTGTCTTTGGTTTAGCGATAGGTTTTCAAAGCTAGGTAGGGCAGAGGTATCGCGGGAAGAGTGCTCGAGGTTGTTCTGAGCGCGAGAGGCATTTTCCTGGGGAGAGACGGGGCTGCCATAGGCTGCATTGTCCTGGCTTGTCGAAGAGTACCGTTCCGCCGTACCCGATTCCCTCGGCCTTCCGTACTGGTAGCTACGACGATCGAAATTTTCCATCTGTTTTTGTATGCTCATATAATCGAGTCCAGCTTCTGCAGATAGAATGCGAGGCGAGGCTCGTGAGCTAGAACACTATAGCTAGTACATGGGCGGGAGACGAAGCCCCTCCTTGTCATGCATGCGCGGGGGCGCGAGAGCCGCAAGGAAGAGATCCCGGCGAGCCTGTGTTACCCGGCGCGCAGGGCAAACGTTGCATCTCTTGGGACTGTGTTGCCGGGACGTCGATGCCCTCAAAACGGCCACACCGGCGGGAACGTCGACGATTTCGTCAACTTAGGGCTTTTCTCCCCGAACTTCATCATCGATTCCCCCAGTTACAGCGATGGGATCAGTCTCCAAGAGCGACTATTAAAAGGCCACAACCTGTTCCCACGAAAACAATTCCATCTCTCCTACAACATCCTTCACTCTGAGATTCATCGAGCAACGATACATAACCTTTACCATCTCACAGGCTTCGAAGATCAAAATTATAAAAGCTTTCTATCATCTACCACAATGCCTACCAGAGCAGAGCGTTTCCAAAAGAATAAGGAGAGCAAGATTCCTGACGTCGTTACTGAGAAAATGTATGGTGCCTTCATGACCCAGCCGAAGAAGCAGTACTCCATGGAGACCCTCTTGGTTAGTATACGTCCTTTTTTTTTTTCTCAAAAAAAAAAATGATAGATCGATCCCACACACACACCATTCATCTCTCCAAGAGCTATAGCTGCTAACAAGGACGTATAATAGGCTGCCAACCAAGCCATCAGAGCTTCTCGCTATGTCAACAACCCAGCTCGTTGGCATTGGGTTCTCTTCAATGCTGCCCGTGAAGGACATGACATTGATCCTGCTGACCCTGCCTTCTACGAAGGAGTCAAGATTGCAAACAGTCTCTCCGATGCTGTCTGGGTAAGCTTCCAGATTATTCTTTTTCTTTATACAACGAGAAGAATATTCGCTGATTCATTTTAAATTTTCTTAACAATGATAGGAGCAATTCTATGCTACTACTTTCAAGTTGGTCCCCTACCGTGGCCTCAAGCGTCGCGTTCCATCCGGTTATGAAGACCCTCTCGCTGCAAGTTACCCCCATCAGTATAGATTCTCTCATGCACAAAATAGACTAACATAACAGACACATACCTAGACTCTTGAGCCATACTCACTAGTTGACATGGCCAACAATGGCACTCACTTCAAACTCGACTGGAATAACGATGACTCAAACGTCCACATCACTATTCTTGGTCACAGAAGCGATGAGGATCAAGCTGCGATCTTGGAAGCTGCAGAGCAGAAGCAAACTTGCACAACTCCTATTCCTGTTGTCAAGAATTGCTCATCTCCTGTTACCACTTTCAAGATTCATACTGACGACAAGCCCACTTTCCACACCCAAGATGACTTTGATCCATACGGTGAGGAGAACAAGGAGAATATTCGTCCTTTCAAGATTCCAATTCTTCGCCGCTTCCACCCTCGCAGGCTCTTTGGAGGTCTCAAGCCATTGTCTCGCGTTTCCGATTGTGTTCCTCTCGTCTTGTGAACGAATCTTTAGGTTTTCATCGTCATTTACTGACTTTCCTTCACAAAATTTGTGCTTCTCTGTCTTTTCTTTTGACTTTCCTTATATCTCAATGTTTTTCTTATACCGGTTTTGTTTGATTCGCTTCCACGCAAGCCTTCTTATATCGGAGATCTACGATTACCCTTGCGAGACTCCAATTATGAGAACGAATTCTTTGTTTTAGGATAGTCTTTTATAAAGGTCACTTATTATATTGTGTTCCTTTGCTTCAGTTTGTCTTGATTGGCGTTCTCGCTTCTGTTTTCCAGTTGCTTCTTGTTTCTCCGCAGCAAAAGTTCAACCTGTTTTCGCTTCGTTTTGGCGTTTGGGTTTTGTTTTCGATCCCGTTCATTTTGATTTTGAGTCTTCTTCGATTGTACATTTTGATTTCTTTTTTCGGCTTTTGATTTTGATATCTTTTACATATGTAGAAGCCATACTTCCTCAAGAAGATCTAGCGCATGTACTCGGATATGTGTTTATCCTACCTTATATCTTTGCACATATCTTTTCATAAATAAATACAATCTTCCATGATGCCCAGAAGTACAGATTATTTTATAGTTATCAAATCATCTCAAATCATAACCTCGTTGTCGTATCAACTGATGTCATTGAATATATACTCCCACGACTACTGACCAAGACTATCATGAACAATCCTGTAGACATGCAATGTAGATAAACAAGTAAATATTTTATCATCAATCACCACCATCTCAAGCTTCGCTTCTGATGCCACCACACCTACCCGCATCCAAAAATCGGAATCGAAGTCATATTCATATTTGGAAATACCGGCCCCTAAATTTGTCAAACCGTGCATTGCGCGAAGACCTTCCTCGTACGAACTATGTGAGGGGTAAGATCCTCCTATCACCATCAGAGCCCCCAAATCCTCCGAATGAGTCAATCCTCTCTTTTCAACAGGTCCGTGAGAAGATACTAAAAAGTGCGCATTATAGATATATACTACCATTCAGAGCCGTATATATACTCTATCTTAAACTTTTGAAAATTTGAGATTCCAAAAGGTCGTGAGGTGCAGTCGGCGCACGCTTTCAAGCTAGTTGGGAGAAGACGGTTCGACCCCGTACGTGACCTAACAATGACAATTTTTTTACCACTCGCGTGAGGTTGTATAAATAGCTCATTCTACTAACTTGAGAAATACTATGGCAAATGGAGGGTCGTGAGGTGCAGTTGGTGCACGCTCTCATGCTACTTGGGAGAAGACGGTTCGACCCCGTACGTGATCTTGGAACTATACTATTTTTACCAGTCGCGTAACGTTATATAAATAATTCAATTTTTCGAATATGTAAAGATTATAATACTGAAGGGTCCTGAGGTGCAGTTGGAGCACGCTCCCTTGCTATTAGGGAGAGGACGGTTCGATCCCGTACGTGGCCTTGCTATACCAGAAATCATTTTTACCACCTCGAATGAGATTACATATAACGAAAGGTCTTGAGGTGCAATCGGTGCACGCTTGCCCCCTTCAGTGGGGGGAGAAGACGGTTCGATTCCGTCCGTGACCTGCTCGAAGAATATGCATATATTTTTACAAGTTGAGTGGAGTTATAGAAATAATACACCCCGATTCCGCAGGTTGAGAAGTATTAATTTTAATAAAAGGGGAGACTTGAGGTGTAATTGGAGCACACTTCTTTGTTCGCTGCTGGAGCATACAGTCCGAATCCGTACGACGCCTACAGGAAAATCTATCATTTTGTTATCACATTTTGGCGGGGTGGCATATGCATATGCAATATGGATGACTCTACTTTTCGACGCTAGATACGGGATAGCGGAGTGTGATTGGCAGCCAGCCGCGCATATGCGGGAAAGATTGAGCTCTAGCGTGTTGTTTTTGTTGCAAGTTCATGTTGCTTAAGATTGACAAAGGCGTACAAGTTCGAGAACGAGATATCGTCAGGAAGTGAACATTACTTTGTTGACGCGAGATTTAACGTCTCTTCATCTTTACATCGTTATTGTATTAAAACATATTTACTCATTTCCTTAACGGTCATGAACAAAAATGGAGAACCCCGAAGTTGAGGGTGGAGATGTGTATAAATTCATAATCCGAATCTCGACATCAAACTGCTTTTGGAAGCTGTCTTCATAAATAATTACAATCTAAAGTCTGAGTAAATGAGGGTGTCAATCTCAAAAATAACAAGGAAAGATCCACAACATTTCCCACAAATTATCGTCAAGAAATAAATGCAAAAGAACAATCCATCCAATATACAAAAATACATGCAAACGCCTCAACCAAAATGTAATGTAATGTAACACAAGATAATGTAGTGACAGAGTTAAATCTCAAGGAAAGAAACACAAGTGAACCAACCGTAGCACCGTGATAATATTGTAATGACCGTCCAATGATATCCCATGCTATACACCGTTATCCAGCCCTAAAAAACGCCCTAGTTTGAAATTTACTCTCTAGCAGGCGTCTTCCCCTTCCCTTCTTCCCCTTCCTTCTTCTCAACCCTCACAAAATCCCTAGCCAACAGCCCTCTCAGCTGTTCCGTGATCTCTGGCCCATCTCCTTTATCCACTGCCTTCCCTTTATTCGCCGCCGCTGACGATGATGTCGAAGTCCCGGTAGAGTTAGCAGTATTGCTGGTAGCAGTGGTAGCAGTACTGCTATCCGTCCTGCGATGCGTCAATCGTACCATCGGCCGCGTAGTTCCAGGACTAGGGAAACCATGCTTTCTATCACTAGCCTCTATCGTTCGTTGGAATTTATAAAATAGAGCTTCCGCGCGGATCAAAGTCGAGTTCAACTCTATCGTTCCCGATAATTCGTTGATATACTTCAACACCTCGTCGAAATGTTGTAAATCTAGTTGAAACAAACAATATTAGCATCATGAACACTCTAACCTTGAATGTAAGCAGGGAAGGTTAAGGAAAACTTACGATCCATAATAACAGCCCTATGCCTCTCCAAAACTGCCAGCGCGACAAACAGATGAAACTGTCCGCTCAGATAATTGGTCCATAGTCCTTCCCACAACCGCAATACGTCATTCCATTCGAACTCTCGCTTATACCATACCAGTATCATCCTGAAAAAGAAGAAGAAATTGGTACTCTCCGCTTTTTCCAAGTGTTTCCAAAGCACAGGATCCATAAGTTGAACCAGTTGATCCAACGTGACCAACTGGGCTCTCATCCCGCTCTGGTCTCTCAAAAAGTTCCGCTCCATGCGTTCCATGAAGCCTACGAATGCCCAGAATGCTACCGCGTCGTCTTGGAAGACGGCGTAAATTGGTGCTAGGAGGTCGGACATACCCTGCACATATCCCAATGTAGTATTATATTCGTTATATGTGAGAAGCATATCCTTCATCTGTTCGAGATGGACGTTGGTGCCAATAGTGGAGTATTGCGAGTCCGGGTCAGGGTGGGGTGTGTCTTCTCCCGCAAAGATGGGAATATTACGGTCGGTACGATGTACATCCTTTTCTGTAATATCCGTTCCCGTTATTAGTATCTCAATATTCTCAAAGGAAAAAAGTATGGGGAATGTCTACCTATACGATTCTTCTGGTCTCTCCAATACTCTCCAGCCTCACCTTGACCTTCTCTTCTCGAAACATCGTCCCACCATTTGCCCTTTAATCTTACGTACTCGTCTCTTTTGCTGTTCATCAAGGCAGCTCGTTCATCTTTCGAGCTATCCCAGGGATACACCTCCAGCAAAAACAGCCACGCTTCCTTTCTAACAGCGGTGTCACACCCGCCGTGAAAGAGCCTCTCTTTGACTTCGTCAACTGTGATCTCTAGCCTTCCAGTAGACTTGTTCCACCAAGAATTCCACTCTTTCATCTCTACTATTTTCCTCCTATCACCGCTGCCGGCGATATTCCCCGCTTCCACATCCAAAATCTCAAACTCACCGACAGCGCTATCCTCCATCTCCATCATATCCTCTCTCTTCCAAACAATCTTTGCCCTCTCCTTCTCGCTCTGTTCTGCTATACCCATCGCCCAACGCGCCAGGTATAATCTCGCAGAATCAAAGTCATCTTGTAAGCTGATCACATCCGGATTTTTTAACAGCTTGCGAACCTGGGGTGGCAAATTCGGGTTATCCAGAAAGTTATTCGCGGTTTGTCTGCTAAACTGTGTCACCTTGGCAAACTGCTCCAATAATGTCCATCGTGCGGATTTGATGGCCTTGGTGAAGGGATCCATCACCGCCGCTGCGATGTTGTTGTCACTCGAGCTTCCTTCCCCTCTACTTTTGTCCTTTCCAGCAGTGGAGTCGATAACGGGTCGCTGACCAAACGACAGTAAATCGTCCTTAGAGGGGTCGACGAGGTACACCGTTTTCTCGATCTCACTTCGTTCCACTTTGACAAAGCGTTTAAGCCACCGTAAAACTTCATCGCCACCCCAGAACAACTCTCCGCTTTCGCCGAAGGGATCGAAATTCTTCTGCGTCCGCGCACGGGATTGAGCTATCGTGGAAGCACATTCGGAGTCGTGGAAGAATAAGGCGGGAAAAGAATCTCCGGAACGGGAGTTTATTACTATGCTACCCCACCACCATCCTAGCGACGGAGGACGGACGAGGAGGGAGTAGATTTGCGAAACGGGGATGGAGAAGGAGTAGGATCCTAGCGGGGAGGAGCCGCTTGAAATAGGTGGTGGGGGGACGAGGTAAGTTTGTTTAGGAGGTGTTGAGGTGTCAAGGAGGTCGACTTTGACGTAGGTGTCGTAGGCGGTGCCGATGGCTGATTCAGGGAGCCAGGCGAGGAGAAGATTTGAGGGGGAGGGTGTAGATGAGGATGTTGTGTTCGACGAGGAGGAGGGAGGTTTTTGTTGCATGAGGGCTATGAAGCCGGGGATGTTGTCTTTAGCGGAGGGCGTCGGGTGGACGTAGACCTGTTAAATGATACCATGAAAAATTATTAGCTATGATAATAATATTTTAAGTTGGGTATAAGATATAAGAAAGTAATTTGTGTACCTTAGATTTGGTGTACAGAAGCTTGACACCTCTGCCGGTGGAGGTGTGAGTGATTGTGCTATAATCCTCATCGTCTTCGGAGAGGTCGTAGAAAGAAGCCGTCGGCGAGGCTGGGGGAGTATATTCGTCCGGCATGACGGATGTGTATGATATTGTTCTACTATCTTTTATCTTTATTATTGGTATTGGCAGCTTGAAGCTAGAGAATAATGTAGATATCCTCTATTTCAGCTGGTGACGTTAACGATAGTCGGATGAGGTTGGGGTGCGATGAGCTGCGGAAGGTGTGGCGGGGCAACACGCGGGGCTCTCCACAGCAATTTCAATATCGGTGAGACGTGAAAAGAACTGAAGTTAAAGTACAGACAATATTTACAGAGAAAAGACTGGCGGATGAGATTTTGAAAGGAGAGAATGTCGATTCTAGTTTTATATTTCTTTATATTGTGGACGATCGGGTGGCTCAGACGGGTCTGATCAGGCCCGGAGCTGGTTGGTGTGGATGCATTCGTGTGCGTACGTAAGTCAGCTGCGACGGCAAAGTGGCACCTCGCTCCAAATGACGCACTCGTTCACATTACCATCATCCGACTCGGTTTTTGATATCTGCCTCGGGGTTACCTCTCCTATTTGACAGATACAATCGATAATATTCTAGTGCTAAATAGCTCTAGTCGGTGGCGCTGAGAATATTTTATTTACACAATCTGGTTGCATACTTCTATTCGGGTTCGCCGATTCGAATTATACTGTGGCGAACGAATTTAAAACGGTGTGAAAGAAACTCTATAATAACATAGATCGTAACTTTTTAATAGTTGTGAATCCAAATCTAACGCCAGCATAAAATCCCAGAAACGGACTTTTTGAGGATGCATCCATCGTATGACAGTCGTGATAACAGTAATAATGGTGACGGTATGATATTGTACAGTGTATATTTTGTAATCGCTAGAAACGGCGGCAATCCAATATAAATATAAAATATCGTACAAAAGAAAAACCCCTCTTCGCGAGAATATAGGATGATAGAATGATTTTTTATGCGTAGGATCGATTGTTGACGTACTCGTGCTCTTCTTCGATCTCGATAGTTTGGTCTGGATGGTGGGTATTCTTGTTAGCATTCAATACATTCATAGAAATGAGGCTATAAATCTCACGTTTCTTGTTCTTTCTCTTGACGTCGGCCTCTGACCTCTTCCTCTTGAGATCTTTTGCTGTAGGTTTGACTGGTTTGACGACCTTGGCCGGTGGCTTCTCGGAATCGTCGCTGTCGGATTCGCTATCTTCCTCGGAATCATCTTCGTCATCAAATTCACCGTCGTCTTCTTCTTCAAAGTCTGATGCACCGCTAATATCCTCTTCCTCGTCATCATCATCTTCTTCCTCCCCTTCGCTTGCTTCTTGGTTACCATCTTTCAGCCAGTCGTTGAAATCCTCCATATCTTCAACGTCACTCTCTCCCTCGTCCCCACTGACATACTCCACCATCCCATCCTCCAGCTCTCCATTCTCGCCTTCCTCTTCATACTCTCCTTC